TATTTTCATTATATCTAATTATTATTACTGCTATTATTGTTCTTATCATCATTACTGTTACTATTATTATTATTATTATTATTACTGCTACCACTACTATAACTGCTATAATTGTTACTATTTGTACCATAACTGCTACTGTTCTCATCATCACCATCATTATTATCATCTATTTCAGTACTGTTTCAATTACTATAATACTGATATAATGTCATTATGTCATCGTCGAACGTAAAAGCAGTTATGAAGATGAAACTTCCCGATGCCTGTCGTTTACATGTTAGCTCAGCATTTTTTCTTAGATGATGTAAATTGAATTTCGATGTTAATCAAATCACGCACATCAGCGCGCGAGCGGAATTGACTGAAAGCAAAATGTATAACAAAACAAAGGCAGATGACTCCAACGCCACAGCTGACACATGGCAATGGGTCTCAGATTTCCCAGGCTTCTTACCGTGGTCTTCGTGAGCTCCTGGACTGCCGAATCTTGAGGACCGAAGGCTTATATGTTCCCTTTGCGCCCCTACTCCTTCTGCTCCCCCCCCCTTGAAATCTTGACCCCTGACCTTTATCCTGCTTGGGATGACGCCTAACCCATCGACCGAACCTTGAAGGATAATGCTAATCATGTGTGCAAACCCAATCAGAGACGTCAGTTCCCGACCCGCTGCAAGGCCTTGGCTTCGACTTCGTCATCGAGCTCCTGGGATTAAACAAACAGCTGATCTTGAAAACAAACAAATCTGCTGGCGGCCGTCCCGTTGCTTTGGCATCCGCGAGGAATCCCAGAACAAAGATTTCATCCCTTTTCGGGAATTTCAGCCTTCGGACAAGGTCACGTCCGTATGTCCCTTTTGCCTTGAGGAGGACAGGGTGCCTTGAGGAGGCAGAGCAGCGGCTTATAAGAGCATTGATGAGGTCCTGGGGATCAGGTGTGCAGCTCCCTGTCTTCGGAACTCAAAGTAAGGAAACTGTGGGTGTGTGTGTATGTGTATTATATTAATATAATATATATATATATATATATATATATATATATATATATATATATATATATATATATATATATATATATATATACATATATATATACATACATTCATACACATATATATGTATATATTATATATATATATATATATATATATATTATATATATATAATATATATATATATATATATATATATATATATATATATATATATATATATATATATATATATATATATATTATATTATATAATATATATATATACTATATATACTAATATATACATAGCATTAGATAGATTACGATACATAGTAGATAGATAAGAGTATAGATAATACATAGATGTAGATATATGTATACACACGCACACACACACACGCTATGCAATATATACACACACAACACACACAAACACACTTACATTATGTGTGTGTCTGTGTATATATTTTGTCACAAAATATGCCACCAATGAGGCCTGAACCTCGGTGCTCCCCAACGGCGCCTCCTTCCCCCCCCCCCCCTCCGAACGGCCGAGGTCCGAACGGCCGCTCGGCTCGCCACACGTTCCCTCGGCCTCATCGCCCCGCCCTGGACTGCTTTCGCGTCTGCTGCAAGATGCGGTTCCTCGCCCTGCTTCTCCTGCTGGCTCTCGCCTTTGCCTTCGCCGCCGCCAAACCATGCCCTGCTGTTCGGCGGAGAGGTCACCACGCTCACCACGGGGTCACCACCGGGGGGTACCACGGGGGTCACCCACGGGGTCATCACAACGGGGTCACCACGGGGGTCACACGGAGGCCATCACGGAGGGGCATCCACGGTCATCATGGTAAGAAAGTACTTTTTCATATACTGTTCATATGAATATTCTTAAAATTAATTCATTGACGGTTTCTTGTCTATGTTTACAATCATCAAATATCCCCTTTTATTAGTCTGCATACAATCACACTCTAATAAACGTGATTATTCAAAAATACCAAAACTATTTTCGATCTATTATCAGGTTGATTTCAGCAGCGACTTCGTTGCCAGCATGACAAATAAAACTTTTCTGAAGATTTCGGTGTTTGTGGTTTTCAATCTGATTTCTCCTTTCACCTTCAACACAATGTAAATGACAAGTCACGAGGGTGTAAACTTTATTAAAAGGATAAATGTATTTACGAAAATTTATGCACAGGCAGAGTCACTGTACTCACTGTCTTTGATAAGAATAATTTTGTATCCTATAAAAGCATTTGGATATCACGCTGACAGTGTCACCATCCCAAAGGCCGTCATGAGATCTATACATTAATCGTTTTATTAATTAATCGAAATTCAACTTTCCTACACTTTAAACCAACTTTTGCGTACGTCCATACCCCGGATGTTATCCTATTTCACTCGATATTCTAAATGAGATGTCGAGTCCCACCATGTCGTCGCAAATTTACCACTTGCGTAAAATCCTCTGCTTGTCACACAGAATACCATTGACCTAATAATAAAATTTACACCGAACATTTTCGTTGGCTGAACGTTCTGCGTCTAGCGTTCGGCCACTTTTCTCCGACTTCGTTCATTTCGCTTCAAAAGGCAACAAGCAAGAGAAGAATCCGCTCCGAAAATTGTAGATACTGCAATATTAATTATATCTACTATTATATATAATCTATCTAATACTAATATAGACTGGCATAAATACTAACGCCCACCTATCATATACTATACCCCTATACTATCTACTACTTACTCTATACCTCATCCACATCATACTACTACTATTCTATACATCACACTACAATTTACATAACCCATACATTTACAAGTAACTATATATATTATATATATTATATATAAAGGTATATACTATATAACCTATTATATATACCTATATATATTATACTATATTACATACTATACTATACATTTTTGTCATAAAAAATTACTGCTATCAATTCTTGAGCAGCCTGAATACCCCGGGTGCTGCCCCCGCAAACGCGCGCCCTTCGTTAGTGATCTTGCTACACTGAATACACCCACACGACTCACCGTTCCAGGAGGTAACCAAAATCAACTTGAAAGTTCCTGTTCTCACCCTCCGACAATCTCCCACACGGTGCAAATCACAATATTTAAACAACTGAGACAACTCAACAGGGTGCAACATATGTACCTGGTGCGACCCGCGATCACGCTTGGCGTTTAAAACGCTCCCTGTGCAATCTCCCAGGTGTTCATTTTGTGGGTTGCTTTGAAGAAACCACGCCCCACTTTGGAACCTTTGGCAACTCCGCTACTCTATTCGTGGCTCCTTTCTTCTCCTCAAGAACAGAAAGCCATACCGCTCAGCGTCTCTCAATACATCGCGTCATACAAATCAATCGCCTCCGTTCCTTATCCTCGCGGAGTGAGGAGGATGCCGCCGCCACCTCTGCCTCCGTAACTATTGCCATCTCGGCCCCATCATATATATATATAATTTTTTTTTTTTTACCAACAAATAAATTATTTTTCTTATGTTATTTGTATTGTCATATGTTTATGTGCCCTGTATACCCCCGATGATTCTTTTCATTTTTTGTTTTAAGATTATATTATATTACATTTCTTTTAAAGAGCAATTTTAGCAGGTCACTTGGTTCTTACAAATACCTATTAAATCTTAATTATTTTACTTTTTTTCTAACATTTTATTCAAGTGGTCTATTAATTACTCCAAGTGATTTTAACATTGGTTCTTTTTATACAATTATTTAAATTACTTTTTATGGATTATCATTTGAATTTATTTTACTATTTTCATTTAGATTTATATTTTCACACCAGTTTTAAGATTTGTTTTTATCAATTTTAATCAAAAGAGAACCAACTTCTCACATTGTTTCCCTCCCACCATTAACAAGGGAAGTGCAGACAGACTTAGGGGGTGATTCTTGCCGGTGGTCTGCTAGAAGAAAGACGGTCTGTGGAACCCCGGAATGGGCTTCCACCTGTCTTAAGAGCAGCTAAGTGGTCGTGAGGATATTTTAAACATAAGGTGGTAAGACTAATTGGCCAGACTATTTATTCGACCAAGTGACCTCGTGATTAGTGCATTTTTTAAATTATCATCTTCGGGCTTTTTATTGTCGTGTTTTACTGTGTTGTGTTTTATGTTCCTATTTTAATGTATTAAGCGTTTTCTGTTTTATCGTTTGTTTTATTGTTCTAGTTCGTTTTACCGATTTATTTTAATGTTTTAAGTTCATTTTGCTATCGTTCCTTTTATTGTATTGTGTTTTACCTCATTTTATGATTGATTTTAATACCATTTTTTCGTTTTATGTTTGTTCTGTTTTTTTACTGTTTTATTGTTTTATCAGTTATCACGAAATAAATAACTATTTAAGTATGTTTCGTTTTATCAACGCCCGAACTTGATTGTTGGAAAAGGATACTAAGAAGGGTAGTAGCAGCCCATTTCCCTCTAGTGATATTTCTTTTCTTTTTTTTTTTTTTTTTTTTTGGTTCATTACATCAATGTGGTGATCTGCTTGATTGCGTTGGAGGACTCTCCCCGCACACGCCTCTCCTCGGCTCATATCACGCGTACCAACCTTTGTGATCTCGCACCATACATATACACCACACACGCATACAACATTTACACACTCTCGCTCCTTTCCCACATCCGTCTTCCACATTATCATTCTTCTCACATATACACTACGTTCCCATACGTTAATTAAATGGGTGGTGGCAGTGGCTACTTTTCCATTCTTGCGAGACATAATTGTATAAGGTATTTGCTACAGGCGCCGCCCCCCCCCTCCCGAACGGCCGAGGTCCGAACGGCCGCTCGGCTCGCCACACGTCCCTCGGCCTCATCGCCCCCGCCCTGACTGCTTCCGCGTCTGCTGCAGATGCGGTTCCTCGCCCTGCTTCTCCTGCTGGCTCTCGCCTTTGCCTTCGCCGCCGCCAAGACCTTGCCTTGCTGCTTTCGGCGGAGGTCACCAGGTCACCACGGGGTCACCAGGTCACCACCACGGGGGTCACCACGGGGGTCACCACGGAGGCCATCACGGAGGGCATCACGGTCATCATGGTAAGAAAGTACTTTTTCATATACTGTTCATATGAATATTTTAAAAATTAATTCATTGACGGTTTCTTGTCTATAATATTTACTGTCACCAAACATCCCTTTTATTAGTCTGCATACAATCACACTCTAATAAAACGATTATTTAAATACCTAAACTATTTTCGATCTATTACCAGGTTGATTCAGCAGCGACTTCCGTTTGCCAGCATGACAAATAAAACTTTTCTGAAGATTTGGTTTGTGTTTTCAATCTGATTTCTCCTTTCACCTTCAACAGTGTATAATGACAAGTCACGAGGGTGTAAACTTCATTAAGAGGATAAATGTATTTACGAAAATTTATGCACAAGAGAGTCACTGGACTAATTGCCTTTGATAAGAATAATTTTTGTTGTCAGACTCGGTCCTACTCACAGATTCATCCTAAAAGCATTCGTATGACGCTGACAGTGTCACCATCCCAAAGGCCGTCATAAGAGCCATACATTAATCGTTTAATTAATCAATCGAAATTCAACTTTCCTACACTTTAAACCAACTTTGCGTACGTCATACCCGGATGTTATCCATATTTCACTCGATATCTAATGAGATGTCGAGTCCCACCATTTCCGCGCAAATTACACTTGGTAAATCCTCTCTGCACAAATGAATAATATTTAACGCATTTTCGGCTGACGTTACTCTCTGCGTCCCACTTTTCGCTTCGTCATCGTCAAAGGCAACAAGCAAGGAGATCGCTCGGAATGGGCAACCGGAGGCGAGTTCAATCCTGCCCAAGTTGCCCCGAAGTTGGCGATCTCCCATATTAGGTCAAATACGTCTTTCGAAACTCAATAATAATGTATTTTTCGTTCAGTCTCATTTCCTTCTTTATAGTATCTTTGAAAACAAGTGGCTGTCGGATTTTTCCTTCTTGATTTGTATTTTATGCTACGGATCAAGTCAATGTGTGTATTTTAGACGGAAGAAAATGAACTAATGCTTACTGATTCACTATTTCATAATTTTTGAGTCAGGTACGGATCTGAATATGGTTCGTATACACATAAGAAAAAAGGATGAAATAGTGAATCAGTAAGCAATAGTTATTTTTTCTAAAATACAAGATCACATTGATTTGATCCGTGCCATATGATACAAATTAGAAGAAAAAAAAAAAGCGATAGTCACATAGAGAAGAAAATGTGACTAAATGAAAAAATCTGTTATTACTGAATTTCAAATGATGCATTTGATGTAATTCTCTGACTTATCATCAACCATTATCAATTATGAAACGTGGAATTGGCAAAAAAAATAATAATAGTTACGATGCTTTTTTTTCTCCCGTTTTGTCTATTTATATTATATATATATATATATATATATATATATATATATATATATATATATATATATATATTAATATACATTTATTATATTGTCGTGTGCTGTGTGTGTGTGCTGTGTGTGTGTGTGTGTGTGTGTGTTGTGTGGTGTGTTGTGTGTGTGTGGTAATATAACGAAATTTCATTCTTCTTTACCGTTTAAATGCGCTCTCTTTTGATAACTATTATATGTGTACGTTTCATGTCCATGCACTTGTCATCTCTTGATTTGAGAACCAGATTTTATTACTGCAAATCCAGTTCATATTGTTTGGCCTTACCTCTAGTAGAAAATATCTGTAGGGAAAAAAGAATGTTAAACTCCTTCAGTGAAGATTTGACATGACCTCATAGAAAGTGCGATCCAGATGATAATATCAAAATATGGAATTGTCCTTTTTAAAGGCAACTTTTTCCAAGACTATCACCTATCTTTTGAAGACTCCAAAATTTATTGATGACTATCCCTTATCTTTTAACTCTAATCCTTTCTCTTCTTTCTATCATCCGTATAACTTACTTGTTCTACCATGATCATTTTTATCTGAACATAATTTCTATCCCTCTCGTAAATATTCCCAGTCTATCTCATAGCTATTGCGTTGCCACCGCCGTTCGAGTGCCAGACGATTCCAATGAGTCTTTATCTTGATTTAATGAGCCGTCGCTGGCCTTCTGGCTCTGTTAAGTCGCGCCTCGTTCCACTTTACCCACATGCATGGCCTTCCCAATCTTGAGAACAAGCATAATGACTGTACTGCCAGGATCCAACCCATTGTAGAAGCAAACAACGCACCCAAACTAGACGCCCTTTGTGGTCGTCCCATTTCCCCATGAACAAACCATTAGGCAGAGGGAGGAACATGGAGGCAAAAGGAAGAAGGAAGAAGAGGAGGAGGCGAGACGGATAGCACGCTTTACGGTCCGAGCGTGGGGGGCGGCCAGCCAGCAAGCCACATATGGGCTGTGCCTGCCCCCCTTACGGCGGTGACAACCCTGCCGCGCCCGCGCCGGCCGTCTCTCTTTTCCGCCTCGTAGCTGGTCATTTCCTCTTCCTGGCCTGTCTTCTCTCTCTCTCCACTCCTCTGCTCTGCCTCGGGTTATTGTTACTTAGCTTTTTCACCAGGCGCAACAAACCCCCCCAGCGGAAGAAGCCGGACGAACTCTCGCCCCGCTCTTCCCGCCTGCTGCGGCCAGAAAGCCCACACCAGTAAGGAAATGGGACGAAAGGAGGCGGGGGCATTTCAAAATAATAGATAGAGGGTGGCCGCACCTCTTTTATCGATGGGCTTGGCCCCTGCAGCACACGAGAAAGACGGACAGAGGGGGGAGAGGGGCAGCGGCGCAGAGCGAGGGCCAGCCGGCGCCGGCCCGGACACAGGCGGGCTGCAACGGCGACGAGCTGGGGCACAGTGCTACAGCACGCTGTCAAGGCTGCCTCACCCACACACGCCCTGCTTCGAACAACTCTCCGCTCCGCACCCCTCTACTGTGCAAAAGCTACAACGCGCCACCACGCCTCTTGCCTCTCTCACTCGTCTCCTCTCCTGTCCTCCTTCCTCTCTCTCCTTCCGTCTGCTCCGTCGCAGCAACGGGCCCTCCAGACACAAACTAACCATCTCTACTGCACTTCTAACCCCCCTAAGAGAACACACACCGCAATCGTGCGTCCTCGCCCTCCGCATATCGTCGCGTCTGCAAGGCTCGGTTCTCTCGGCAGGCAAGCAAGCATAGCCACACATACACGGCAGTGAGCGCGATGCGACCCACAGGCCCGTGGCACAGGGGCCTGAGCCGGTGAGGTACTTCTCGGCGATGGCCCGAGTCCCTGTTCAACCTGCCTCACCCGCTGGGTCTCCGCAGGGCACACGGGACAGGGGCGTCGTGGGATTACCCGGGGAGTTGCTCTTCCTTCTCTCGCCCGCTTGATAGTGCGTGCTCGCACCACCCGCGCCGACTGCATACTCCGCGCAACCGGCGCAAACGTGGCCCGAGGAGAGGAAAGACCGCCAAGGGTTCGGGCCTCAGCGTCTGCAGATGGGGAAGGTGCCCAAGAAGGCGGGACTTGCACTCCGGCAAAAGCCAGTCCGAACGTCCACCCGAGACCCGGCGGGTCGTCCTTCTGTGAAGGCGTGCAGGAACCACAGCCGAGCCCACCCGGCGGGGGTCGGCACGCCGGGAATCTGCCGGGTTACCCCGTGCGCCCCCCCTTCCCGGTCGGCCAACGTGGCGCGACCGGCCCCGGTCGAACCTTCTTGCTGTGCCAGTTCGGGGTGGGGAGGGAAATTCGAGCGAAAGGGTCCGACGCCCGAGGGCTTATCCAAGACGCACAGGCGGCCCCCCCAAAACCCCAAAAGACACCACCCACCCCCGGAGCGTAAGAACTGGGAGAAACCACGAAGCAGTTAGCAGCAAGGGACAGAAGGGAAAGGCCTATGGAGGCGGAGAGGGCCTTACCAGCGTTCCTACGCAAACGGTGGAGGGACGGAAGAGATGCCCGCCATGGCGTGTCCCCCTTATAGTTGTGCGGCGCGGTCCCCTCAGCCAACGAGCGACCGGCAGAACAGGGGCCCCTCGCTGGCGCCACGCCGCCCAGGGGAGAGGACGTCCCTCCGCAACGCAACCCACCACCCGGACGACCCGGTAAAACGCGCTCACGTTTTCTCGCGGCGTGGCGAGGGCGGGGAGCAACGGGCCCCCAAGCCGCCGACCCTCCGCAGGTTCGACGCCGCCGTGGCTTTGGCCCCCGGCCCGCCAGCGGCTCGCCGGCCGGCCCCCGAGGCGGCCAGCTCCGGGGCCGGCTCGG